ATCATTACCACCATAAAAATACAATCACCATCACAAGATTACACTGTGATTTGGTTGTGTTCAGTGCAGAGATTACAATACTTAACCTCGTTCGGGCCACAAAACTCTTTTCTCCTGCTGTCAGAACTGAAAATGAGTGGCCGTTGTCCACTTGCTCATTGCAGTGTGAGGAACAATTCATTTATTTTTCATTTGCTGTTAACATTCCTATTTCCTGTGACTGCAAAGGAGCTGTTAGGAATAGCCATCAGACATATTTAAAAATTGACTATTCAGTCTGCATTGGAATGTGTGGCTTACAGTGATTAACAAAGATGTTACAATCTTAACTTCATAACCCAGGACTGAGGTACTGTTGCTCTGATAGTTATTCAGAATTCAGAGTGATTTCCAGCAAGTATACAACACAATTACCCTTTTGAATAATATTTGAGTGCCTGGTATACAAGTTTGGAAACACGAGTTTCATACCAACTGATCTGAACTGCTATGCTTATAGTGTAAATCGGTAAAGCCAAGATGACCTCATTCTAAATGCTGTTTAACTTTCCACCGATGAATCTTAAATCTTTATTTATAAAATGTATTTATTGAATTATTGGTTCTTTTAATTTGATACTCAGAATACACTGAATTTGAGATCTTAAGAGATTCGGCACTGATAAAGTGATTTCAGCTGCTGCACAAATTAAATGGAAAAGGAGGTCTGTGTGTCTGAAAACATTTCAGAATTTTTGTGAGGAAGGGCACTTGTTAATGGACTGGCACAGCTGGTAAGTCAACATGCATGAGCTTTTTTTGTGTCACTTGATACTAAACACAGCAATGTTAATGAAGTGCATTAGCCGTCCTTGACACTGTTCAAGCATATGATGAGGTTTAGACTCGTTTCTTTTCACAGGGAAAATACTGGGCACAAGCACATCAAAGTGAAAATATGAACATAAAAAAAAGACTTTAAAAACATTCGATAGCTGAGTTATAAAAACTGGCACTGAAACTCGGTTCCTGAAGGGTGTGGTGTCGTCTGGATTTTGTTCAATGTAAGTTCTCAATTACATACTGTAGGTGGTCTAATTACAGTAGATAATTTACAATATAACTGCAGTTCATCCAACAGGCTTCGAAGTGGTTCAATTGTACCTTTAAATAAATCACTCTCGTGTAATCAACTGTAAAAGACATTAAGAAAAATCTTATATATAACTTTGAATATAAACAAGTTAATTGGTTGACTGCAATTTAATTGAGACCCCCCTGGTTTAAACTGTAGTGACCAGTGCAGAAAAAGCTACAGCTACCATAATAATTACAATGATTAAAAAATAAATAATTATCCCTTCTGTGAATAATCTTCCAAAGGCATTTCCTGGGTGGAGATGGAAAAATGTTAAAAGCCTGTACACTTGCACACTTCAAAATGGTACAGTCTGTAATTTATGGGCAATTCTAATTGTGCATTATCCCAGTCTCAATCAAAATGTGAAGAAAGTGCATAGCATATTAAAACCTGCAGTGCTTGGGGTAAAATTATCAAAAACGTATCTATTCATGCATGCGATTCAGACAAAGCATATGGTTTGTGGATATTGATTAAATGGTTTTGCTACCAATCCATCCTGAGTGTCAGACACAGTCAAGTGACTTGACTGTTGCCAAGTATTAAATCAACTCATTTGCAAGGGAGTTAATTGATCACAGGCAATGAGGTGAATTAATCTATTGAGTGGCTGCGTGGTCAAAATCATTCAAGAGAAACTAGTCACAACAGAACTGCAGTTTTAGGAATTGATGGCAACCTGACTGCATTGATCATGCCTTAGAACATCTTTCTACGCGTGCACCGGAGAAAGTATTCTCACTGGCTGCATTATGTTTTGGTATGACCATTGCTCAGCTCATGAACGTAAAAACATTCAGAAGGTGGTGGAGACAGCCGAGGCCGTCACGGGTACAGACCTTCCTTCCATCCACACCCTCTTCACCACACACTGCCTCAGAGCCGCAAATAATATCAAAAGACCAAAAATACCCTGGGAAGGCACTTTTCTCTCTTCTTCTTTCTAGCAGAAGATTTAGGAGAACAAAAGCCCAGATCTCTAAATTCACAGAATCCTTCGAACCCACAGCCGTAAGACTCCCAAACTTCACCTCTTAAACCACTGCCACTTCTGAATTTTGCACACAGCTGCTATCTGAAGTTGGTTAAATTAATGCTGCTACCCTGTTCCTGTCTCTAAGCATAGTGATGTCATTTTCCATGTCAAGGTTATGTCATCTGTCGTTTGTCCTGTGAGGAAAACATGCAAGCAAGCAATCTCATTGTACTCAGGTACATCTGACAAACTTGAACAACGGGAACTGATCCGATGATCTCAGCCAGATGTTTCTTGCAGTGGATAGCCCCGTTCCCTTTAACAACATGGCTGAGGACAGCTTGCTCCACACTTCCAGATGTTTTAGGGCGATGAGGTGCTTGCATATCTTTACAGTTTCCACTTGGGTCCTCTTGCTCTGCCAGGCTTGTTCATTCTCAAATCCACTGGACTGACTTTGCCAATACACCACAGGATTCTGAATACTTTCCTCAAACCTTCATCGCCCCTCTGCTCCACATTTGAGAGGTTTCAGCCTGTTGCAGGCATAAGCTATAGCTCATTTCATACTTCTATATATTACACAAGCTGCATTGTTAAAATAGAGCTGCAACATCTTCAAGTTTGCCAAACAGCATTACACTACTTTCTCTAGGACTCATACAAATGTTACCTTAAAAAAAAAAATCTCCAACAGGCATCACTGTCCCCCAAAACCACAAGAGGGTGACTGAAGTCTTTAAACGCTAAGAACCATCAGAACTCTATTTTACATTAAGGGCTGAAACCGAAAAGCAGCTCGAGATGAAAAGGAAATTTCTTGAGTGCCCAGAAAACCATCCAAATATTTCAAAGGTGGCTTTCCCTTGTAAACGGTGTTCCACAGAAAAGAGCACCAACTACCAGACCCCTAACAGTTACTGCTGAAACCCAGTTTTCCCAGGATGGAAGACGTCTTGGTGCAAACCAAACATACTTGCCTTCCGAGTCTGCTCATAATGGCAATGACATCACTATTGGGTGAACTAAAAGGTGGTGAGAGCTGCAGTTCAAGCAGCTTTGAGGCTCTTTGCACATGCTGGACAGAAACTATCATAAGCAAATAAGTGTTTTATTCTAAGAAAGCAATGGGGGCCCAGGATTCCAGAGTCCAGCAATGTCTTACAGCACCACTTTTTCCTCATCTACAGTATATGGAAAAAGGATCACAGTGCTGGGTGAGCACTAAGTGTTTGCAAATTGTCTCAAGTAGCACCCAGCGTTGTGTAACTGTCCAAACTGTTAAATCCCCTCATTCTGCATGAGAGTTAAAATGATCAGAAGTCACCCGTTACATTTATTTTCATGCTGGCAGGTATGTATTTAGAGAAACAAACACCAAGCACAATGTGCAAAAATGTTAGAACTTTGTACTTTAATTAGACATTGCAGTTTTTAAAAAAGTCCCATGCATGTAATCATTTGCAAATTACTGTTCCTTTTATTTTAAAAACTTCACTGAACACGACAAAGTAAATTTTATGAGTTTCCTAGGATTTTACTTACATTGGTGTGAGTTCATATGCAAAAGAAGTCACAGTACAGCAGCCGTGTTCTAACACATTTGTACACTCTTGCAAGTTCATCAGCCCATTATTAGTCCTCCAATTCTATGAAAAGATGTCATTGGCTATCCTTCCTTTTAAAATGGCTTTCGCAAAAAGATATCCTAATTGAAAAGCCGTAACAATCCCCCTAAAAAGCCCATTTTAATACCATATACAGGGGGCGGACAAAATAACAGAAACACCTAGCAATATATTAATATCAAGGACCTAATAATGAGTAGGGCCACCCTTTGGCTTCAGAACAGCTTCAATTCCTTTTTGGAATCCTGTCGCACAAGTCCTGGACTGTGTGGAGTGGGATATTGCACTTGAACTTCTTCAAGACGAAAAGCCTAAAGTTCTCTGAGGGATGAAGGAGGTGGAAATCTACTTCGTACTCTGCACTTCAGGACTTCCCATAAAGGTTCAATGATGCTCAGATCTGGTGACTGGAGAGGCCATGGAAGGCGTCTGACTTCATCCTGGTGTTCATGAAGACACTCTTGAATTTGTTTAGCAGTGTGGATGGGGGCATTATCATCCTGGAATATGGGACCATCATAAGGGAACAGTGTTTGCACCATAGGGTACGCCTGGTCCTGTAAATTGGCCTCATATTCCTCGGCGACCATGTAGAGCAATCATCAGACCTAATGACTCGCACAAGATGGCTGCCCATACCGTTACAGATCCCCCACCATGTTTAACAGAAAGCCAAAGGACGCCTGCATCCCACAAGGTCTGTGCGGGATGAAGACATTCTTTGGCTTTCTCAAAATGTAAACCCATCTGGATGTAGGAAATAGGATGAAAGATGACTCATCAGACCATATTACTTTTCGCCATTGCTCAGGGCTCCAGGTTTTGTGCTCCTTACACCAGTTTATGCGTCTTTGTGCATTGGCCTTGGATACAAGAGGTTTCCAAAATGGCAGCCCTGGTATAAATCCCAGCTTTGTGAAGCTCACGGCGTACAGTTTTTGTTGAGATTGGGTCACTGAGATGCCGATTCAATTCTGTGGTAAGTTTTGAGGCATTTAGCAACTATCCTGTGAAGTGTTCGTCTATCCCTGTGGGTGAGCTTCGACTTGCAGCCACTGTTGCTCTTTGCCGATGCAGTTTGTCCATGTTTGGCATACGCCGTCATTATTTTTGAGATTGTTCCCCTTGACACATTTAATAATTTAGCAGTTTTTGTGACTGATGCACCTGCAATTCGGGCACCAACTATCTGGCCTCTTTGGAACTCTATTAGATGCCTCATGTGGCTTTGAAAGCTTACATATGAAAGTGCTGTCAGACCTCTTTTATAGCTGACAGATACTGCTAATCGGCAATCAACCTAGTATGACCCACCTTTGCAGCTGCATGTGTAATTGTGATTTAGTTACTTCAAAGTTAAACTCCTTTTTCATGTGGTGTTTCTGTTATTTTGCCCACCCCCTCTATGTGAAAACCTTTGTGTGCATCCAGCATAAGCATATTGCTCAACTTCTAATCAGTAGATTTTTTTGACTGAAGTTCAAGCCTAATGCGAATCCTCACTTAGTCAATACTTTAAAATCCATGGACTTTTAACTGTTCTTCTTTAACGATTCCAACCTGCAAAACAAATAAGTGAACTTTAAATTGCTGTAGTAGGTATTGCCAAGTAGTCAAATACTTTGTGAAAAGATACAATTGAAGTAGTTTCCCCTAAAACAGCTGCAAAATGTAGGTTTTATATAGCATCTTTCATAATATCCTCTCAAGAGACTTTAACCCAATAGATATGTTTCTACCTATTTAAAATGTAAACTACCAAAACTATTTCAAGACTTATGAGCTAGGAAATCATTCCACAGCTTTGGAGTACAATAAACGGAAAGAGGAGGGAACCTCACTTGGGAAATCAGTAGGTCACAATGCAAACATTGCAAAGATGTAAACATAACAGTTCACAAATGGAATTAGGAACCAAAAGATCCAAATCCCACCGAACTGAACAGCATTATTTAATTTTATTCAGATATTTATACGTCTTAAAAATCAAACAAATTAAGTACAATAATTTGTCTAAGAGTATTTTTCCATCTAAGTAACACAGATTAAAAGACCTCTGTTCTCTGATCTGAGCTGAACTCTGATCCCCCATGTAAGACAGTAAATCACTGTAGTTATTTTCAACATCACCAAGAGCACATAACTTCAAATGAAGGTGGGGCAAAACCCTAACCACCGGTTTGTGTGGATAGCTCAGTATTGTGCTTTTACTCACACACTGTCACTATACACAAGCAGAAAATGCAGAGCTGGCAACCGCTTAATAAAACTGATTTTGTAGCCAAGAAATAGGGGAATTTAAAAGGTTCTGTAACCAAATGGTGAACCCTGATAATTTCACTCAAACATAAAAACATCTGGCAATTTCAGTTTCTATGGCTATTTACAAGTATAATTTTTTGCTTGCTGCATTAGGAATAGAAATTGGACTTACTTCAAGAAGGAACTGGCAAATGTTTTTTCTCTGATCTCCCTGAAGCTGGATCACCTCACCGTACTCGGGATGCTCAATCACAGTACCATTGCAAGCAAATTTCTGTGAACCAGAACATCAGTTAGCAGTTGTCAAAATCAGAAATCTGACACTTGATATTTTAACCAGAGCCAGGATGCTAAAACCCTATCATTTTCCATTGAAAACCCAATATAAACATAGTATTTCTGCCTGGCAGAAGCAACTACACACGGTCAGCAATTCTAGGAAAAGGAAATGCAGGACAGAGAGGTCATTTTCAAAGGCAAATTCACTGTGACTTGGCTAGTTTCCATTTTACTTAATTCAAGGTTATTATTGTAATTGAGGTGCTAAAGGTTAATTTTGGCTCTCTACTCATGAAATAAGGTTGTTAAAAATGTTCTTAAATTCTTGTAAAAACCGAAAAAGAGCAATAGAGGTTTTGCAACGGGTCATTATAATACAGTTGCTAAAAATGAAACATTTTGCTGAATGTTACCATTCAACTACATCCCAGAAATGTAGATTTGGGCTTGTGGTATTCCATATAGGGCTCATGTGCATAATGTGTCGATATAAACTTTCAATTAAATGTACAAGGATATGATCTAGCACAGAATCTGGAGTTTATCCTGAACACTCCTTAAAACCCAAAGCACGGCTGAACCTACAGAGTTTAGCACAGTTTAGATAGCTTGCGAAAGATCAGGATGGACAGCATGTTCCACTAACCGTGCAACCGTATAAAAGGGTGCTTGGCATTAAAGTCATCTAATTAAATTTGTTTTGAAAAAATCACAACTGATACATCTTTTATGCTGAAGCATATTGCTCAAAGTTGAAATGTTAAAATCCCCACAACGCGAACCATATTTAAACTGCTTTGCAGTAAGACTTAACAGTGGATCCTCATCTCAAAGCACTTCATCTCCCGTAGGCTCTCACTTCACCAGCTATCGCAGTTTTGAGTAATTAAACATGATTCCAATTAGGGAGTAAGAGCTTGGTGGCAGAAACAAAACCCACCAGACGCCCCCTTCACAGCAAGGGCTGGAGATGTGCACTTCTGATCAACTGTGCTTGATACCAGTCTGCCAAACACAATGTACCTTTTTGAAAGCCTTTACAAGTTTCTTCTTGTCATAATCGGTAGCAATCCCTTGCACGGTGGTCAGGGTCTTGCGGCCGTTCCGCTGCTGGATCCTTATGTGGATATAATCTTCAGTCCCTGCTGGGAGCAAGCTGTCACCCTTAGTTGCATCAGCAAAGGGATCTGAGAAGAGAATTGAAGAGAAGTCAAATCAAGATCCAATGCTCACAACAAGCCCGTCACACTGCTCACACTGTCAGGGGATGTGGACAGGAGCCTATAAGCATCATATCAAGGTCTCTCTCCAGCTGTACGCAGGGCATACTGCCCAAAAAGAAGCAAGAACGCAAATTGAAATACCGTTCCGTAGTGACCACAAGGTAATTCACCAGCCGGCAGCCACAATGGACCAAGCGCATAGCTCTCAAGTCTTCTTCTGAAAATCTCACACAGACACATTCGCATCAAGTCGATTTAAAAGAGGCAATGAACAAAAAATTAAACATTAAAATTGTGGAGACTTGCGATTCCCACTAGCCAACCAGGGTTGGTTTTTGTGGGTAAAACGTCAAGTGGCTGGTTAACATTAGCCATGCAGGAGGTTACGTCTGGTGGGTCATGGGTTCAGAAAGCAGGGTGACACCTTTGGTGAAGTACTTCACCCACTGCACAAGTGACACCTCACTGCATAAATAGTGCAAACTGTTATGGATCTATTAAAGGGGTCTTTAATACCTCTTTCATACTGCCTTACACCCAGGTTCAAGGAGAACGCCAAAATCAGAAACCCAGTGTTCTCAGAGGAAGGTGTGTACTTGCACAATGTCTCCTCCCGTTGTCTGCTTACAAACCGAGGACCGTGGACAGAACGCCATTTTCATCCAACGCTTCCAACAAAAAGAATTAAGACTCGCATCACATCACAATGTCTAACGGGGAAAGACCAGTCGAGAAAGAGAATGGAGTTTGAATGTTAACAGTGGTAGATGCAAAAAAATGCAATCTTAAAAGAGGTGCCAGTAAAAGACTGGGATGACTTTTAAGGGGTCTCCCTCTATGAAACAGATGTATGCAGCACATTTACCACTTCAGGCACTTTTTTTTTTTTAAATGGTGCCTACCGACGATTTTGTGCAAGATAACGGATCGCAAATCGTAAAAGATTTTAAAACTGTGAACAGCTTAGCAGTTCCTTAACGTGATGTTTTTTGAAGCAAAGAAGGATTTCTCTATTTAAAAAAAACACTTCCCTTTAAGAGGCCTAACAATAACATAGAATACAGGCCTGCATAAATCCAAGACAGGCTATTATCCTGTCTAACGCAGGATGTCACTTTTTAAAAATTAATTAATCGAGTGAAATGCCGATATTCACTTGATATTAGTTATATCAAGCACAACATGCTTCTAGGTCATACCTAGTTTCTAATTGTTTTTTTAGGATTCAGTAAAACAAATTATTTTTTTTGCAATGGAGTGTAGGAGCTCAAATCTAACGATGCTGACTGAATATGCTTTTATTTCCTCTAAAAAAAAATACGGATGAAAAGTATGCAATAACGTCTTTATCATCGTATTATAGAGCTAACATTTCACTACAATGCATCCATCAGGGTTTACAGTGGGGGGGGGGGAACATTATAAAATTATAAATAAAATAAAATGGCGCGTGTATAAAAGCCCATCAGATGACTGTAGATAAAAAGGCATCGTAAACATCTTTGATGCTACGATGCCTGAAAAAAAGGGCCACGTTAACGCTTATAACCACAGGCAATATCGCTGCAATTGGGAAAAAAAAAACCACAACAACAGGCTCAGAAAGACGCGACACACAGTTCCAGCAACTACAACAAAAACCTAAAAACAAACACAAAAGGGGGGGGGGGGGGGTTAGGTTTCGTTGTTCATTTAAAAAAAAAAAAGAAAAGAAAGAAAAGACCCGCTTCAACCTCGCCGTTACAGAAAATAAAGCGGCACTCCAGGGCGGCCGTCCGTGGCCATTTTCTACTCGGGACAAAGACGGGCGCCGCTCCGCCGTGTCCACCTCCCGGGCAGGGAGGAGGCGAAGGGTGGCGGACACTCACCGAAAGACCGGAGGTTCTGGATAGTGGACATGCGATAGGAGGACGGGGCCGGTGTGGAGATGAATGGTCTCACAGCTCGTCGGTGCCGGTTTGTTGTAGCTTCGTGGAGGGGGACGGAGGACGGAGGAAAGCTGCCGGGTGAAATAAAAGCCGCTAGCGGTGGTGGAGCGGGGGGGGAGGGGAGGGAATCCCGTAACCTTTTTTTTTTTATAAAAAAAAAACAAAACAAAAACCAAGGCGGACACCCACTGCTGTCTCTCACAAAATGGCCGAGAAAGAGGTGTAACAACGAGTCGTCCGCTGTCACATGGGAGGAGGGCGGGTAGATGCCCAGGAATACGGGATCACGGGATTTGAAGTTGATCACGGACGAGCCCAGACACCTGAGAGCGGACAGGATCTGCGTGATCGCGGATTTTAAAGACCAGACGCCCCCCTTTTAAGGTGTAACCCTGAAGGGGCCGCTTTTCCTTTTTCCACGGCAGAGCTCTTTTCCAGCCAAGATCGTAATTCTGAATTGCTCCGGGTCCGGGCTGTTTAGCCTTGCGAGAATACGGGCCTGTATAGTGAGCACCGGAAGAATAGTGTCCCTCTTGATTCGTTTCTTGTACGACACGTATGCTGTTAGACAATTGAGAAAAAAAAAATAGATATTTGTTTTGGAAGCATTTTGATGACGACGTTCATGACTGTTCTGTAAACCCAATGGTGCAATCATACCTCCCCCTGCTGGTGTCTGGTTGTCAATGATTGAGAACAATCCTCTTGCAGAGTGCCATAATTAATCGACCCAGGTGGGACTCGAACCCACA